AAAACAGCGACTGATGCAAATATGATGGAAAATAGCTGTTACGATGTACAAAACTAGTTACTCGTCTACGCTTAAGAATTAAGTTAGCAATCGATATTTGATTCCCGGGGCAAAGTATAGGAGGGGCGCGAGGGGTGGGGATCTTTTTCGTGTGCTGATAAAATCGAAATCGATGGAGATATAACGTGGCCAGGGAATGGCACATTACCATAGGTGCAAAAAATATAACTTATAGTGTTAGCGCATGAAAGAAGGTTTTCGAAATTCTCATTGCCCACGGTAGTGAGACATTTTGCTGGAATAAATGGAACTCGAAATGTTTCTCTTGAATGTATCGGTAGATCAAATTTTACGCGAGAATGGAGATAAAGAATATATATAAATATTTTGTTTTCGATGGCTTTAATAAATTACTATATCATTTGTTATTTCATATGCTTTATTCAAATGTTATTTTAACAGACTCATTTTTTTTTTTTTTTTTTTTTTTGAGATTAAATAAAAACTCGATAAATTCTACGTACTTAGAAAGGTAGTACATTTGAGATAAGAATGCAAAAATTCTACAACAATACCTATAAATACCAGTGTATTCGTGTCGGGTGAAGCTACTATTAAGATTGTGTGATAACAATATTAGTTGACACGACAAGCCCTTTTAATTATTTCTTATACTCTAATGTTGTTTTGTTTATTAAAAAATATGACCGACCAATGCACATTGTTGCGGACAAAATGCAAATTTTTCATGTACGCGTGTATAATCTGTTATATTATAAAATTGTTGAAAAACTAGCTCTCTGTTATCCTCTCTCTTGTTTATAAATTAATTTTCATATTTTAATTCATCATTATTAATTTGAAATACAAAAATTCGACACTCATGATTATTTTGCTAAAAAAATAATTTGCAGTCTCGAATAATGAGATGACGTACGATGCTTACCGAGCCGAACTAACTAAATAATATTCTATTTTCAGGTTTAAAGGCCGAACTGTTTTACGTGCGCGAAGGTGTGATTAACGAGTACGCGATGAAGTTCGTAGTGCCCGTGCCAGCGCAAGTACACAAGCTGCATTTCACGTGGGAAAATCTCGCTGGCAGACCCGTAAGTTTTCACAAATTCTTGTTTCCTTTATTACCACCGTAACATCACGGTATTCGCTTTGGAAATACACGGGTTATGCAGTGGCCATGTTGGCAACGTTGGCCAGTCCCTCGGTTCGGTTCGGAGTCCTCGCGTTGCTGATTTGTCGCACAGAGAGGCGCAATGGAAGCTCCTCGTATGGCTGAAATAACGAAAGATGACAGGGTCGGCACGCTTAAGCCAAACGTACGATTAGCATAATATGACATTTGCAGGCGTGAGAGTAATTAGAGCGATGATAATCGTGGGAGAGTGACCATGAGACATTGCTGAGCCACTCGCCGTTAAACTACAACGGTAATGTTTGATTTATTTATTGGATGGGAGTGATGGTGGAGGTATAATGGCAGTATCGGCGAAACAATTAAACTTTCTAATGGAAAATTCAGAACAATAATGCGAGTACATGACGCTTGGTGCTCGCGTTAATGATGAAAACTCGCTCGTAGAGGCATTGTTCCCACGTGCGTCCGTCCGCGTAAAAAAACAGCACCAAGCGATTATTTAAATCCGTTGGCGTAACGAAGGAGCGACCGCTCGTTATGCTAAGCAATGCAAATACGTTGCGCGTTCATGCTCGCGAGTGATGACGGCGACGGTGCTGCTACTGCTGCTACTGCTGCTACATGCTGGGCCCTCGCCAAGGGCTTGACGCGAGAATCCTAGTGCGAAGAAGCACGTGGACGGGCCGTTAAAGATTCGATCCTTGGAAGGATGGAAGTAGGGCCGTCGGCATCACTCGCTTCGAGTGATTTTCTCGCGCGCCGCACGACCTGGCGCGATTCGAGTGTCCGGGAAAAAAGGGCCGCGCGCGGTAGCTCGTAAACGCGTCTCCTCCTCGGTTTCCTCTTATTCACCAGCTGCTGCGCGCGACCCTTTTATCCCGTCACTGGCTGCCGGATCGCCCGGAAAATACTTCGCGGTCCCGCATAATGAGGGTACGCCCAGTGGGATGGAGGGATAGGTGACGATGATTATTCTTTTTTATCATGTTATCGAGTGTGTTTGAGGCGTAGGCGAGATCGCGTGACTGGCTGACAGTCGGAGTGTGTCGGTGACCGAGGGGTGGTGGGCCGAGCATTGTCGTATCGCTGATTAGCCAAGCGAACGCGAAGCGAGCGATTCGGTTTAATTAAGGCGACGATGGCAATCTCTCGTTATTTGCGAATCGTTCGGGCGAATGCGCGCGCGCGCGCGCGCGCGCGTGTGTGTCGTGTAACGGGCTCTACTTAATGGCGAGAATCCTTAGGACGTGGGATGCCGATCGGGTCGGTCGACGACTGGCGGCTCTTGTGAGGGGGATGGGTTGGGCGAGGGTGAGGCTAAAGATTTTGAACGAGCGTGGACGGGACGGTAAATATTTCGATGCATTTAAAGGTTGAGTATGTTAGTGCGGGACGATGGGTGGGAGGGTGGGAGGGTGGAGAGGAGAGAGGCGCACGAGGCTACATACTACGATCGGCTTCCACGCGCAATTTCGAAAGAAATGGTTTAATATGGATATTTTGGAATACGTAATAATTCGCACATTTCAGAATGATCGTGGAACGTAATTTGAATTTCAAAATACTGTTAATAACGTAGTGGTATCATGCCACACATTTTATAGTCTTTATAGCATGTTCGAGCTCGTAAATGTTTATGAGTGTAATAATCCATGTAGGGAATGATAAGGCGAGGGAACTGAGCGACGGGAGGGGAATAATTAACAATGGGAAATTAGGATCTGCAATTTTTTGCGTGATTCGATGGGTTTGGTATTTCGTGTTTCTCTTTCATGGTGTAATGATGCGAGCACACCGATATAAATTTGCGAAGAAAGTGTACTTGGATGGAGATAGATTAGCGCTTATTGCCAAATTGGCGAGTTAAACGAACCGTGAGAGTAAAATTTTGGCACTACATATTGATAAGAAAATTACGAACAGTCGGACGCATCTGCGTACCCTTTCTCCGTAAAAATGTATTCAATTTTGTTGATTAGGGCGCTATGAAAGCTGCGTTAAAATTACGCGAGAGCGATCGGAGGGCGAAAATCATTGCTTTTCATGGAAGATCGAGCGGCGCGGAAAAGCCATTATCCGCTCGCGGCCGCCCGACATCGCGCTCGACGCACTAAGGCGCACGAATACGTTAATGGCCGTAGGGCGTGAAATTATCATCACGCGCAATCGAGGCAATCGAAGCAATCGAAGCCGAAGAAAGGAAGAAAGAAAGCGAATCGGGATTCCGCAGTGGCGCGGAATTGACTTGTCGGCTGGGAAAAATAAGAGACACGTCGATCCGAGTAAGAAAGAAGCGCCTCGCCAGAGGAAAGAAGTCAATCGGGCCGAAGTGGTCGAGCGACTTGTCCCGCAGGAGAGACTAAGAATGTGGGCCTGTGGGTGAGAGCGCGGCGGGGGGAATGGGCTGGTACACGAGGGTGACGGTGGAGAAGGGGTATTGTGGGGTATTGTGGGGTATTGTGGGGTATTGAGGTATACAGCGACGGAGGGGTGGGGCGGAGTATGGGATATCGGGGCGGGGGGGGGGGGGAGGG